CGTGTCCTGTCAGGGACCGGGGGGCGGGGCACTCGGGAGGCCGAAGGGCCCGGAGCCTCTACCAGGCCGGTCGCTCGTAGCTGGTTCCCCCACCGGGGTGGCAGTGCTGACTGGCATGGGCACGTCCCCCAGACTCGGCCTCCTCCATGCTCCTGGGCCCACGCGCAGCCCTGCCAATGCGCCTCAGGCCCAAGCGGCAGAGCCCTGCCCGGCACCTCCCTCCTGAGCAGCGACGCCCCTGCCAGCCCAGCCCCCCTCCTCCCAAATCCAAGGCCTGGTGCTCCTGGGGGTGTCTAGTCAGAGATGTTTGGCAGCAGTGCCCTCTGGCGGGCTGCGCACACGGGCCGACGGCGCGCACGGCGCCGGCATTCCGCCTGCGCGACCACTGGCCCCTCCGCTCCTTCTCTGCCCCCGCCGGCATCGGTCGGAACCGCAGTTGCTCTCCGGCTTTTACTTCCAAATATTCCTAGCTGTTCTCTGCCGGACCCGGTTTTCCTGTCGTTAGCACCGCGCTTGGGTTTTCCCTAGTTAATAGTTAAAGCAGATAGGCTACGTCTACACTGGCATGATTTCCGGAAATGCTTTTAACGGAAAAGTGTTCTGTTAAAAGCATTTTCGGAAAAGCGCGTCTAGATTGGCAGGACGCTTTTCCGGAAAAGAATTTTTTCCGGAAAAGCATCCGTGGCCAATCTAGACGCGCTTTTCCGCAAAAGAGCCCCAATCGTCATTTTCACAATCGGGGCTTTTTTGCGGAAAACACGACTGTGCTGTCTACACTGGCTCTTTTCCGGAACAGTTTTCCAGAAAAAGACTTTTGCCCGAATGGGAGCAGCATAGTTTTTCCGGAAAAGCACTGATGATTTGACATTAGATCGTCAGGGCTTTTGCGGAAATTCAAGCGGCCAGTGTAGACAGCTGGCGAGTTTTTCCGGAAAAGCGGCTGATTTTCCGGAATAACTTGCCAGTGTAGACACAGCCTTAGTGTTTACAGAAAATGATCATCGTCATCTTTGCTGCCAAGGCCACTGTCCCCTTGGCAGTCTTGTTTCCTCCCTGGGATGCCAGGTTCCCCAGGTTTGAGACGCTGCCTGTCTTGCCGGCTCTCAGCCCCGGTCTCTGATGGGCACTTGCAGTGTGTCCAGTGCGTAGGGCAGGCCCGGCGTCAGCACTGCCGGCAGCTAACGGCCCGGACGCGGAAAGCCGGGAAGCTACAACTGAAGCTCATCGCCCTGGAGAACACCGTGAGGCCGGCCTCGGACCCGGAGCACTCCACCCCACCTGACAGGTCCCCCAGTGGCTGTGTCTGAGAAGGCGGCTCCCTCAGGCTCCGGCATCAGGGATGCTTCCTCCCATTCCATCCCATCCCATGCGCAGCCACCGGCCCCTCCGCTCCCTCTCTGCCCCCGCCGGCATCGGTCGGAACTGCAGTTGCTCTCCAAAACGGGCAAACCCCCCAAATACCCCTGCACTGACCTCGTCTAGGGCACTGGACAGGGGATACTGGGACTGTCTGGCACCAGTGGCTCCCGCGGGTCCAAGGACCCCACAAAGGCGGCTGCTAAGGCACCAGAGAAGCCAGAGGCAAAGTCGGCACCGTCTGACTCCGCCTCGGTACCGACGAAGGCAAAGACAGAGTCGGCTTCTTCAGCTGCGCCGTCGGTGCCAAAGAAACCTCGGCCCCTCGGCGCCTGTGCCACCCCGGTACCGAGGACACAAGCGCAAGTGGTTGAGCATTGCTATGGACAGGCTGAGTAGTGAAGCCCTGTGGAACAATGGCACTTGATGGGCCAAAGACACACCTAAAACAGGAGGGTGGAGACCTAAGAGCTGCCAGCAGAGAGGCTGAGGACCAGGTGACCGGCTGAGACCAGAAGAGGCCAGGAAGGAGTATAAAGAGTCCATGTGGTCGATGCCATTTTGTTCTCAGCTCAGCACTTCATCCCAGAGGCAGCACTGCAGGGATCGAAGAGCCCGGAAGACCTGTGAACCCATCCTGATCGTAGGATGTGCAATAAGGACTTTTAAACCAGCAGCTGCAACACCTCTGCTAGAGCCTGCATCGAGAACTGGGAGATTCGGTGCATGTAACGTACTGTACTTTAATAACCTTGCTCTCAGGCTTTTCTTTCTTGTAATAATAAACCTTTAGTTGTTAGATGCTAAAGGATTGGCCCAGCGTGATTTGTGGGTAAGGTCCAGAGGGTAAATTGACCAGGGATCTGTGGCTGGTTTCTTGGAACCGGACAGAACTTGTTCGGGGTAGGTGGGATTGGGTGCTAGGACCCCCCACCTGTGTATAGGCCCGGGGCCATCTGGGGCACGGATATTGCTGGGGTGTCGGAGGGGTTTTGCTCGGGAGGCTTCAGGCAGGCAGCTGAAGCGCTCTGTGAGACTGGTTTGTGGCCTGTGTGGAGAGGGCTCTGAGCTGCCAGGGGGCCGGGGTTCCCAGCTGCCAGGGCTGGGGGGCTGGGGCCCAGTCTTGGCAAGCCCTGCCCCAATGAAGCTCTTGGAGCAGAGCCCCATGGGTAACGGGTGATCCTGCCGAAGCGAGGTCCGTGGCACAGGTGCTGTGACTGGCCGTCTGTGGTGGCATCAGGTGCCCCCCGATCCTGCACCCCCATCCGCAGCGAGATGAGACTTCTCCAGGGTACAGCCCAGCACAGATGTGAGGTGGCTACAGGAGTCAGGGCCAGGCAGCCTCAGACCCCTTGGGGAGGGTCCACAGGCCCCTGACCCCTCAGCACTCGGCTTAGGGCTCTGAGCTGCCAGGGGGCCGGGGTTCCCAGCTGCCAGGGCTGGGGGGCTGGGGCCCAGTCTTGGCAAGCCCTGCCCCAATGAAGCTCTTGGAGCAGAGCCCCATGGGTAACGGGTGATCCTGCCGAAGCGAGGTCCGTGGCACAGGTGCTGTGACTGGCCGTCTGTGGTGGCATCAGGTGCCCCCCGATCCTGCACCCCCATCCGCAGCGAGATGAGACTTCTCCAGGGTACAGCCCAGCACAGATGTGAGGTGGCTACAGGAGTCAGGGCCAGGCAGCCTCAGACCCCTTGGGGAGGGTCCACAGGCCCCTGACCCCTCAGCACTCGGCTTAGTCTCCTCTCTTCATATCATCCCAGCCAAAAACTGCCAGCTCCCAGCCCTGCCCCCAGCCCGGTGTCCGTCTCCCCCTCCCTCCTTTGTCTCCCCCCGGGAAGAGCCTTGTTCTGTGCTCAGACTGGGCCTGGGTGTCTGGGCCAATGCACGTGTGGGGGAGTCTGTGGGGATCTCCCAGCGCAGCGCAGGGGGGCCCCAGGTCACAGAGCAGACCCCCCCCCCCACGTCACACCGTCCAAACGCTGCTCACGTCCTTCTCTCCATCTCGGCCCCATTGTCTTCTTGGCCAAATGAACTAAGCCGGGTCCCTCCCGGCCGGAAGGGCACTGCCCTTGCTCCTGGCATCGCCAGACGCCCGCACGCCCGCAGGGCCGTGTCCCAGGGGCTGGGTCCGTTGACTGGGATTACACAGAGCGGGGCGGCCCGTCAGGCCGGGGCGGGGCCGGGCTCTGGGGGTGGCTCTCAGAGCTGAGGCTGGCCTGAGCCTGAGCATCTACACTCCAGCTCTGCGCCGCGTGGCCTGGGCCAGCCTGCAGGGCTCGTAGGGCTGGGTCCACGTCCCTTCAGAGCCCCAGGCTGCAGCGATGGAGGGTGCTGAGAGCGGCCTGCTGACGGCTGTCAAGGCTCTTTGCACGTCCGTCCCGGGGAGAATCCCGGGGGTTACGGTGCTTTGTAAACTTGCCCGAAAGCCGGGACTTATTTTCCATTGGGGGAAACGGGCGACCTATCGAATGCTGCCGGCTTCAGGCTGAATTTCCTCTCTTTCCCCTCAGGTACGATATCTGCATCTACAAGAACAAGCCCTGTGGCACCTTAGGTAGGTACGAGCCCAGCGAGCGGCCGTCGTAACGGAGTCCTCGCTCTCTCCGGTGCTGTGCTCAGCTGGTCGCAGCGTGGTTGGCAAAGGAGACCAGCCGCATTATGCCCAATGGATAGGGAAACCGAGGCAAAGGGTGGCACAGTGACGTGCCCCCAGGCAAGAGCATGAGGTAGAGGCTCATGGCATTAGACCCAGAGGTCCCAGGGTCAATCCCACCTGCCAACAACCCGGGTCCTTCGGCTTTACACATACTTCAGGTCGAGACGGAGCCATCGTGGCAGCTTCTGGGAAGCTTCGTGGTCCAGCCCAGAGGCCGAGAGCTGACCGGGCCGTGGAGAACGACCCCCTCACTCCTCTGGGAACTGGGCCCTATGTGGGACGCTTGTACCTGCTCTGGAGGGTTACCTGGCCTCAATATGGCCCCCTCCCCTGCCCCTCCCCTCCCAGTGAATGCGGGACACAGCTCCCTACATGTGGAGGAGCATCGCCAGCAGATCTAGAGACGTGATCGTCCCCCTTTACTCAGCAATGCCGAGGCCACATCTGGCGTCTTGCATCCGATGCAGAAAGGACGTGGATGCACTGGAGAGGGTCTAGCAGAGGGCACCAAAATGCTGAGGGGGCTGGAGCACATGGCCTGCGGGGGGATTTGGGGGGATTTGGGCTTCTTTAGTCTGCAGAAGAGCAGAGGGAGGGGGGATTTGAGAGCAGCCTGCAACTCCCTGAAGGGGGGTTCCAAAGAGGCTGTTCTCAGTGGGGGCAGAACAAGGAGCAATGGCTTCCAGCTGCAGTGGGGGAGGGCTAGGTTGGAGATTAGGAAAAGCTATTTCTCTAGGAGGGGGGGAAGCGCTGGGCTGGGTTCCCTAGGGAGGGGGTGGAATCTCCATCCCTAGAGGGGTTTAAGTCCCAGTTTGACCCAGCCCTGGCTGGGCTGATGGAGTTGGGAGGTTGCCTGTCTCCCAGAACTGGAAGGGACCTTGAAGGTCATCGAGTCCAGTCCCTGCCTTCACAGCAGGACCAAGTACCATCCCTGACAAATGTTTGCCCCAAATCCCTAAATGGCCTCCACAAGGATTGAACTCACAACCCTGGGTTTAGCAGGCCAAGGCTCAAACCACTTGGTCCTGCCTGGGGGCAGGGGGCTGGACTTGGTGCCTCCTGAGGTCTCTGCCGTCCTGGGGTTCTATGATTCTGTCCCCCGCTCACATCTTCTCTGCCACCAGTCCCACCCCTGCCGTGCGGTCGGGCCCTGCTGTCTGTGGGACCCACGCACTGAACGAGGTGCTAACCCTCCCCCACCCGCCCTGCCTTGCTCCTGACGTCGCGGGGTGGAGGGGGCCCGGCACTGAGGCCAGAGCCAGACATGTGCTGGGGGCAGAGGGGCAGTGGAGCCCCGAGAGAGGCCCAGGGCGCGGAGCAGCACAGATGGGCCCGGGTTTGGGCTAGTGGTGAGGGATGCCAGTCAAACCCCTCGGTAGCCCCGGGCTCTCTGTGTCTCTGGTGGCCTCGGCCCTTTCTGGACGGAGACATTCTGCTGAAACCCGGCTTCGGAAGGGCCTCTCTGCCCGCCTGGGCGCGTGCGGTGGGATGCGCACCACTTCCTCCTGCACAGACAAGCTGGGGGTGGGGCGGTCCCGGGGGTGCTTGGCCCTGCTGCCATGGGCAGCCCTGGGAGCAGCTGGAGAGCGCTCCTCGCTGGCCCCGCACGAACTCCAGCTGCCTTTCCTAGGGCTGGCCCCGGTGGGGGGAATGTGTGAGCGAGAGAGAAGCTGCAGCATCAATGAGGACATCGGGCTGGCCACGGCCTTCACCATCGCCCACGAGATCGGCCACACGTGAGTGTCACGCCCACAGGTGCCACTTACCGCGACAGTCCTCCCCTCTGGCTGCTCTCCCCCGGAGCCCGCCGGGAACGGCCGTGTGAGGTGGGACCCAGGGCCCGCCCCACCTGAGAGCCCAAGTGCAGCCCAGAGCAGATCGGCCCACGTGCCCACTCCGTGCCAAAGCCGATCACGCCCGGAGTGCCCGAGACTCCAGTGCTCGGCACGCCGAAGAAAGCCATGCGGGGCCTAATGCACCTGGGCCAACGTACAGCACTGCCCGGTGGGGACGGGACATGTCTTCCTGCCCTGAGTGACACGCCAGTGTCCTAACATCTGAGCCTGGGCGGCCCCTTGGCGCCTTCTTTTCTCCGGTGCGAACTCCCTGGGGACAGGGACTGTTGGTTATTCTGTCTGCACCGCACCTGGCGTGGTGGGACCCAGTTACCGCTGGCGCCCGTGCTCCTCATGGAAATGATTAATAATCCTTGAGACCTGTGTGCAGACAAAGCCTCCTTGCTCTTAGTCTGGCGTGGCCAGGGGCACGGCCAGGACAGATGCCAGGAATGGCCACATGCAGGCTGAGCTAAGAGCAGTCGACTCTCATGCTCCATGTCCTCAGCCGCCACCCCTGTGGGTCAGGAAGGAATTTCTATCCCACGTGGTCTCTTGCACAGCTGGGAGAGGCCAGGGTCATTGCACCGTGCTCCAGAGCCCCGTGCCGGAGACTGGACTAGGCAGCCCAATGGTCTGGTCAAACAGAGGGGATCCCATGCTCCTAGAATGCTGTGTTACCAGTGCAGGGGGAGTGTCGTTCATCGGGGGAGGGAGGTATTAGTCCTGAAGGGCCCAATCCTGTGAAGAGTTTGTAGGCACTGCTCCCTGGCACTCATTACTCATAGACGAGAGCTGAGTGAACTCCTCCCTAGTCCATCTCCCTCCTCCCCGGTGCAGTCCCGCCTCTATCCCACCCCCTCCTACTCTTGGACCAAATGAGGCTCCTCTCGCCTCCCGGGGAATGCTCCCTACAGCCCCCAACCTGCCCCAGCCCCCTGCGCAGATCCTCACTGCCCTTCCCCTCCCGTTCTCCTCCCTGCTTGAGGGCGGGGGCAGGAACTGGGAGGGGTGGGAGGCTGGGGGAAGAGGGCCGTCCCAGGAGGGGCAGGCAAAGCTGCCAGGTTCAGATCATAAGAATGGCCGGGTTGGGTCAGACCAAAGGTCCCTCCAGCCCGGTGTCCTGTCGGCCGACAGTGGCCAGTGCCAGGTGCCCCAGAGGAGTGAACAGAGCAGGGAATCATCAAGTGATCCCTCCCCTGTTGCCCATTCCCAGCCTCTGGCAAACAGAGGCCAGGGACACCATCTCTGCCCAGCCTGGCTAGTAGCCATTGATGGACCTAACCTCCAGGAATGTATCTTGCTCTTTTTTGAACCCTGTTAAAGTTCTGGCCTTCACAACATCCTCTGGCAAGGAGTTCCACAGGTTGACTGTGCATTGGGTCAAGTCCCAGTTGCAACCTAAATTCCCCACCTCCCAGGGCTAGAACCCTTCCCTCAGCAAAGCCTCCCCGCGGCCAAGGAGCCTGGCCAGCAGCCGCCATCTCGGCATTGCTCAGCCTCTCGTGGCTGTGGGCACAGCCACGCTGGAGAGACGTCCACTGCTTGGAACTGCAGCTCACGTCTTTGTTCTCATCGTTGTGACTTTTGCAGGTTCGGCATGAACCACGATGGAGTTGGCAACAGCTGCGGCTCCCGCGGGCAAGAAACGGCCAAGCTCATGGCGGCTCACATCACCATGAAAACCAACCCTTTCGTGTGGTCGACCTGCAGCCGGGATTATATCACCAGCTTCCTGGAGTAAGAGACCTGGCCGGCCACACCCACCCTTCCCCCAGGAGCAAAGACTTCTCCAGCCCCCGACAGTGATTTCCTCGGCTCCCCTGCCCGTCCTCGTAAATTACCCCACCTCACATGCCCAGGAGACGTTGGAGAGGGTCCAGAGTAGAGCTACAAACATGATTGCGGGCTAGCAAACGAGCTAGGAGGGAAGACTGAAGGAATTGGGCTGGTCTAGTTTAGCAAAGAGAAGCCTGAGAGGGGACATGAGAGCAGTTTTCAAGTATCTAAAAGGGTGTCACAGGGAGGAGGGAGAAAACTTGTTCCCCTTGCGTGACGGCGCGTTGCGGTTTCCCATCTCCTGCACCCCCGGAGTGGCCCGAACAGACTCCGCCAGCCAGTAGAACAGAGGGAGTTTATCGCTTCTCCAGGATACAGCACAGATGTCATCTGGTTCCAGGAACTGGGGCTAGGAGGCCTCAGTGCCCCCCTTGAGATGGGGGTGGCTGGGCCCTACAATCCCAGCCCCCTCTCTAGCCCCTTCTCCCCTGCTTCCCAGACAGAACCTGCAACTCTCTTCCAGCCCTGCCCCCCAGCCAGGTGCTGGTCTCCGTCCTCCTCCCTTTGTCTCTCCCTGGGTGTCTGGGTTAATCCACATTTGGGAGAGTCAGTGAGAATCTCCCATCCCAGTGCGGGGGACCCTGGTCACAGAGCAGACAGCCCCTCACTCTGCCACACCTTGGCCCTGAGGACAGAACCAGAAGCAAGGGGCTTACACTGCAGCAAGGGAGGGTTAGGTTGGATATTAGGAAAACTTCCCGCCTGGCAGGGTGATTAAACTCTGGAATAAATTGCCCAGGGAGGTTGTGGAATCCCCATCCTGGAGATACTGAAGAGCAGGTTGGACAGCCTGTGACGTAGTGGGGGGTATCTTGCTGGTTGCTATACTGGGCAGTGGATTGTGAGTGACCCCCACTGGCTGCTGGCTGCAGCACGGCCCAGCAGGACAGGGGGAGTCATTATGCAAAGAGGGTCTCTCAACCTGTCTGACCAGCTACCCCCCAGAGAGAGAAACAAAGGAAGGTGGAATGCTGCCCCTGGCTGGGGGCAGGGCTGGAAGTGAGGGAGTTAGTTTCTGTCTGGTATCATGGAGGAGACAGCCTAGGGAAAGGGACTGGAATTTAGGGGCCCAGTCTCCCCCATCTCCAGGGGGGCTGAGGCATCCTAGGCCTGCCCTGGAACCAGATGACATCTGTGCTGTGCTGTATCCTGGAGAAGCAATAACCTCCCCCTATTCTACTGGCTGGTGGAGTCTGTCCGTGCCATTTCGGGGGTGCAGGAGACGGGAAAACCCCAACACGCCGTCACACAGACACCTGGCAGGGATGAGCTAGATGGTGCTTGGTCCTGCCATGGGGCAGGGGACTGGACTCGATGCCTCTCGAGGTCCCTTCCAGTGCTCGGGTTCTAGTCTATGATTTTTCCCGGCTGCCTGGCATGAGGCCCCTTCCCAGTCACGAATGCATCCCCCTCTCTGTGCATCTGTCTGAGGTTTGCACTAATCTGCTAATGTCATTAACCTGCCCCCCAGCATCCAGACCTTTCTGTAGATTCCTCCCTTGTGGGAATTTCTCCGATAAAGGTCTCAAAAAGCCGGCTGCATTCAGCATCTGCAAACGCTCCGGGCCCGAGCACGGGTCAGCTGCCGTTGCGTATGAAAATGTTGCAGACCCGCCCAAATCGCTGCGGGCAGAGCCCAGTTCCCCTGAGCCCCGGCCTCGTGGTTTGGTCACAGGACTAACCTTCCCACCCCCTCTGCCTTTCTGAGCCTCTTCCTGCTGCCTGGGAGTCCCTGGGCAGCCAGGTTGTTGGTCCGCGGGTCGACCTGAAAGGCCAAGCCAGACTCTGCAGGCTGAGCCCAACCCCCGTGTGAGCAGCCAGCGTGAAGCTCTAGGTCCGAGTCTCTGGCGTCTCCATCGCTGTGGTATTTGGGTCCTTGCTGAAAGCGGAGACAGAGCCTTTTGTGAGGTTCGGAAGAGTTTAGTTTATTTGTCCTCCCGCTTCACGTCATTTTCCCAGCAGCCTTTGCACTCGCTGGCGCTCCCTAGAAGGGGAGGTGCTGAAAGACCTCCAAAGGCCGGTCCCACCAAGGTTTCCCGCCCGGTTTTGCAGACTCCAGGGCTGTGTCTACACTGGTATGAATTTCCGGAACTGCTTAAAAGGGAATACTATTCCGTTTTCAGTTTTTCCGGAAAAGGAGCGTCTACATTGGCAGGCTGCTTTTCCAGAAAAGCCCTTTTTCTGGAAAAGAGTCTGTGGCCAATGTAGACGCGCTTTTCCGGAAAAGACTGCTGGGCTGTCTACACTGGCCCCTTTCCGGAACAGTGTTCCGGAATAAGGACTTATGCCCGAGTGGGAGCAGAATAGTTTTTCCGGAATAGCGGCTGATTTTGTACAGTAGAGCATCGTTGCTTTTCCGGAAATTCAAGGGCCAGTGTAGACATCTTGCAGCTTATTCCGGAAAAGCGGCTGATTTTCCGGAATAAGTGGCCCAGTGTAGACACAGCCCAGGTGTTTGGAGCGGTCACTCGGGCTCAGCTGAGCCACACCGCCAAGCCGGCAGCCATTTGCCATCGCTCACCCTCAGCCAGCTGGTTAAAGCCCCTGTTTCTCTGCAAGGGTTTCCCACGTGTGAGTCCCTGTTTCCTCTCCCCCTCCAGCTCAGGCCTGGGACTGTGCTTGAACAACGCTCCTCCCAAGCAAGATTTCGTCTACCCGACGGTGGCGCCCGGACAGGCCTACGACGCGGACGAGCAGTGCCGCTTCCAGTACGGAGTTAAATCTCGCCAGTGTAAATACGGGGTAGAGAGCCTTCCTGCTTTACTATCGGTTCCGAGGGGCGGAGGGCTGGGCTACGGGGGGGAGGTTCGG